CACACGCCATCAGCAATGGAATCAAGCAGTGATTCGAGAAATTGACTCTGAATGTGAAGAGCTTTTGGGAATGCCTTTCTTTCTCACATTTATTATTTTTATTTATTTATTCTTTGAGCGAAGGAGAGAGAGAGCGAGACTCTCCCAACAGGGCCCTTACACCATGGTCCTCAGCCAGCCAGCCATGTGTGCACACCCAGGTGTGCGGAGAGAACTGGAGATGCAGTCCTGGGACCTTCCTGTGTAGCCTCAGGATTGAAGAGTTGTGTTACTGCTACAGAGCACGGCTGGCCAGGAATATCTGAACTTGATGTTTTTCCTCATGCACAAATTAGTAAGTGATGAAAATGTAAACCTAAAAAGAGTTTAAAAGAGTTCTTTCAATACGTGCTAATTAGTTTGCAGGGTTTTTTCTTAGTGACACGAGAGTACTGATGAGTCAAATATGGTAGACCCTGTAGAGAAAATGGAGTCAGGATGGGAGCCTGGCTCTCTCACTTCCTATCTTACCATGTTTGAAGGCCACACCGTAAACAGCGCATGTTATCTCCTTTTCCACTCGTACTGCATGTGTGTGCTTGTCATGTAGTTATGACCTTGCTGTTTTACACCATTAACTATAATGTGCATGTGTGTGTGTGAGTTTGGTTTTGCCAATGAGCCGCTACTGTCTGCAGCCCCTTTAAGAGAAGGGAGCACCTGGTCAGCTGTGCTGCCCTGCTAGGTAGCCCTGCTCTGCTCGGCCTTGGTTCCATCTGCTCAGCCCTGAAGATCTTGGCTTGCCTCCCCTCAGCCTGGTGCTGAAAGCTCTGAGAAAGAGGAAACTGCTCCCCAAGCGCTCTTCACACATTACAGGCTCCAAGAGGGAGGAAGCACCTGAGTGCCACTAGAGCTCTGCGAGCTCACCTTGAACTCAGCAATAAACAGCGCGACGTGAGTGCTTAGCGTCTTTTTCCAACTCTCTGCATCGCTGTTTAACTCGCCCTTCAGAGGATGAAAGAACCTCATAAAACAGATTTATATGTAATTATCAGCAAAGATAAAAATAAAAACATGTTTATGGGGGGGAAGTAGGTTGCAAAAATATACATACGGTAAGATCCTACCTATACAGAAAGAATCATATAAAATGACAACCTGTGGGACACGGTGGGTAAGGCCCTGGACTCCCACGTGGCTGAACACACTGAGCATCAGACTTGGAGCTTGAAAATCACACTGCATGCACATGCATGCATGCTCCGTAGTTTCAGAGGAGAATGAGGAGAAAGAGTTGAAGTGTGGCCATCTCCCTAGCGGGTGATTTCTCACTTTCCTTTCTATCTCTGTCTCTCTCGGAGTGCACAAGCACTATGGAAAAACCTCTCCCCTCCCAACCCTTCTCCAAAAAAAGAAACTGGAAAAAAAAAAAAAAGATAACCTGTATTTTTGTTACTACGAATACATGAAAGTCAAAATATTATAAAGTGAACTGAAAGAAAACACACAAAGTTTACTACAAAAGTTAATTTGGGTCAGACAGTGGTAAGAGACTCAAAATTAGAAAAATGTGATTTAAGTAAATCATTCATAAAGTTCTACCTTTCAAATGGAAAATATGTTCTTACATCATTGATATTTTTCAAGTACTGCATACCAAAAAATAAAATGAGCAAAGGCAATTATGTAAAAATATTTCAATGTCTAGTTACCACTGTTTCATGGGACTATTGGTCTTTTTGTTTTTTCTAATTGGAACTTCTTCAATTTCTACATTAGCCTTTAAATTTGTAAAAGTAAACTGTTAGAGAATTGCACATACATTCATATTTTAAATGTCAGGTAAGAGGCCAGTTGGTGGCATGGTATTTAGGGCAGCTGAACTCCCACATGGCTGACTGTGGTTCAAGTCCCAGACCTGGCAGCTAGCTTTCTCACTTTCCCTCTCTGTCTCTCTCTGGTCAACTTTAAAAAAATAAAATAAAATAAAGACAATGAATAAAATTAAACAATTCTTAAAAAAAAAAAACCTCAGGAAAAATAATCAAGATGAATTCAGCTACGTCTCTTTCCATTAGCGTGGTCCAGCAGTCTTAGTCTAAGGGCCCAGTGATTTGCTTTATCCTTTGACACTGTCTTTGAAGACAGAATGCAATGAAGAAAAAAATGCAATGAATTGTGATGTCATTGCCCTAATTCCAGAAATTTCTTTTCGATGTTAGATAACAGCTCTTTGTGAAGAGCAGTCATTCTTTCATCTATCTGATATATGTAAGTTATAAACATGGCTTTAAACCCTCATGAACTTGATTTCTCAGATCAAGTGTTTTATCCTTATCCCTCTTGATAATCTTCTCATTTCCCAAAATGTTCTGAGTTACATAATGAATAGGCTTAACTTCTTTCTCCTGAAATGCTGTTTTTCTCTTCCTTATAAAGAAAGGTAAATGAGGTATATAATTTTTCTTTTTTTAAGAATTATTTAACTTTCGGGACCAGCAGCTAGCGTAATGGCTATGTCACTGAACTCCCACATAGCCGACCGTTGTTTGAGTCCTGTGGTTTAAACTCACGCTGGGTGCATGTGCGTGCGTGCCCAAGATCCCCAGAGGAGAATGGAGGAGAAGGGACTGTGGCGTGGCCATCCCCCCTGGGGGGTGATTTCTTGCATTCTGTCTCTCTGTTTCTCTGTGTCTTTTCGGCGAGCGCACGTGCCCTATAGCAAAAACATCTCCAAAAAAAAATAACTATCTTTCTTTCTTTCTTTCTTTCTTTCTTTCTTTCTTTCTTTCTTTCTCTCTTTCTCTCTTTCTCTCTTTTTCTTTTAATTTGACCAGAGAGGGACAGAGGAAAGAGAGAGATGGAAAGGGGGAAAGCAAAAAAGCAAGCCACCAGCTCCAGATCTTGAATCACAGTTGGCCATGTGGGAGTCCAGCACCCTTAACCACCATG